TGTGGCTCCTATAGTTCAACGTCTTAGACATGCTTGTGAAAGCCAGCTCCTACCACTTAGCTGGAAATCTTAGTAGTGAGTAGTCAATTCTTTCCTCATCTTATTTGCCGCCGACGATAAACTAGTGATATTTTTTTACCAGTTGACTGCTTACATGGATAATACACTATATTCAACTTACAACTTAATTTGATTAAGTTGTTATCAAAAGTAAACGGCCACGATTGTGGGCAAAATCTTGCGATCTCCTTCATGCGATTCAGTACAGCAAACAAAGCCTATAGCCCTAGCAATTTGCTATAATATTAATATTAGTTTACGCTAAAATAAGAGGCATAAAAGAAATTAATTAATGTCTGCAGTGTCCTGAACCTTATATGCAGCCCATTTAGCCTTTATTCACATCATATTTAGCTTTTTTTTTAATTAAAAAGGTGACTTTTTGTATTGTGGATAGTTGACGATCCCTAATGATATGACGTAATTCCCGAAAGAGAGTGAAAAGATACTGATATTACCAACTATCAACACGGAGGTGAAAAAGAAAGTCTAATGGTAAAATATTCTCCATCTCATTTGACTCACCGTCAACACTTTGAAAGACCATTGAATACCATTGAATAAACAACAGACTGGCCAGCTTGAAGCAGTTCTCCGGTGTTCTAGGCGAAGACAAACACGAGTTGAAATCATTTAGTCCAGAAATGTACTAAAGACATAAATTTAATATCCGGAATTGTCATTGCCACAGCAGTGCTTACGATCAATGACGTACGGATATGTATGAATTCCACAGGAGGCCCCCCTCCCCCGCCCGGGACGTATTCTTAGAGACAGTTGTTGTAACCTCACACCTACATTGAGAACCCTTTCACGTGAAGAGAAACAAAAGAAAGCGATTCGGGTGAAGGCAAACGTATGAACGGCAAAAGAAAGAAGTGGATATTGGCAAGATTTCGTGATAATTAGTGGGGCAATCTAAAGGGGAATGGGGGAAAGCAAAGTGAAAGTAATGGTTCAGGGGGGGGGGGGG